CTTCTGGAGTCCCAGCCTCTCTGGCCACCCCGCCTCCACATTACAGCTGCCTGTACCCTGCGGAGGCCTCTGCACACACCAGCCACCCTGGAGCAGTCTAGCAAGGCCTTTTCTTCTGGAAGTCAGCATTCTTTCCAAGTTACATCAAAGTTCTGTGTCCAGCTATGGGTGGGTGAGAGATGCAGGCCTGAAACAGTCCTGTTTGATTTTGCATGATCTGATTATGCTATTGCCCACCCCTCCACGCACCTTTTTTTTAAAAGATAAATGGGATAGAGGTACAGAACCGTGAAGAGGCTGTGGCTCTCCTAACCAGTGAAGAAAACAAGAACTTCTCCTTGCTGATTGCAAGGCCTGAACTCCAGGTGAGTCAGCTTCCTGTGCAGGAAGCTGGATCTGAATTTTTAAAATCAAAAACCCAAGTCCCCACCCTGCAAAACACCACACAAGTATTAGAACTGAACGTGAAGGCACCTTGTACTATGCAAAGCTCATCTACCTTGCTGTGACTTAGACTCTGTCTGGTATTTTAACCACTTAAGAACATCCACCTGGCATTTACACTGTAGGCCCCACAGGTTCCTTAACACAGGGATAACAGAGAACAAGAGAGGGAAGTGTCATGGGATGGAGACACTGCTAGCAACTGCCACCAGCCAGGCGACTGACTGCCCAGCCTGACAGCTGCCCCAGCCTAGGTCTGTGTGCCCCTCACTTACAGTTGCAGAGTGGAGATGTACAGCATGGCAACTGTAGGTAACAGTGTACTGAGTCGGGCGATTTGCTGAGAGTAAACTTCAGGCCTTCTCATCACTGGAAAAATGCTAACTCCACAGGATGATGATATGTTAATTAGCTTGACTGTAGTAATCATGTCACTGTGTATACCAAGTCACATCTCAACTATAACACCGGTTTTATTTTAATGAACGAACTTTGGTCAGCACACTTTTCCTTAAAGGGTCAAATAATGTGTTGGGCCCTGGGGGGCCATGGAGCCTCCAGTGGAGGTGCTAGAACTGGCCGCTACAGCGCAAACAGCGCCACAGGACAGAGAAACAAGCGGGTGTGGCCGGGCCCCAATTAAACTTTACACACCAGGCCACAGCTGGGCCCTGGACTGTAGATTTCAGATCCCTGAATGGTCTGCTCTTTTACAAGCAAGGAGGAGTCTGATAAAAGTGAGAGGCCTTGCCCAGGAAAAACGGCAAGTCAGTAGACCTACTTTTTGGTCAAAAAGAACTCTTTCCACCCTGAAAGTAGTTTCTCTTCAGGGCCTGGTAAGCCTGGGTGTGGCCTGGGAGGCGGGGCTAGCTCTACCTAGCCAGCTCCCCGCACAGGTGGCCTGCATCGCCAAGCTGAGGAGGATGAAAGAGCTCCCTCTGCAAAAATAAAAATTCATTTGGGAGGCCTCCCTAGACATGGAGTGGGGGAGGGAGGGCAGTCCCTTTCATGTGAGGATGGGATGCTTTCCTGGCATGTAGCAAAACAACAACCCTGGAGGGAGTCAGAGGAATATTCTTCCCCAGGGTAATGCCCCTTTGCTGAAGATAAGAATGAGTAAAATGAAAGCCAAAGGAATCTGAGGCATATGTGACTGCTGCTTCTCCCCAGCTGGACGAGGGTTGGATGGACGATGACAGAAACGACTTTCTGGAGGACCTGCACATGGACATGCTTGAGGAGCAGCACCACCAGGCCATGCAGTTCACAGCCAGTGTGCTCCAGCAGGTACCGGCTGGCCCCGCCCCTGACCCCCGAGCTGGGGGACGATCTGCACCCCCGCCCCACCCAGAGCTCCTTCATGATACTCAAGATTGTCAGAACCCCACCCGCGGGAAGGCGGCAAAGACTCAGGGCTTTCCGACTAGAGCAGTAGAGATGGGCAAGCCACTAGCCTCCCAGGATGAGAGGGCCATGGGGCTTCCGAGGCGGGTGGTGATGCCGAGGAATAGCTAAGCTTCTGACACTTGTTTGGAAGGCACAGGAGCCTGCATTGAGAGGTAAGAGAAAATCAAGTTGTGGTTCCAAAAGTAAAGCCAACTCCCTGTTGAACCTGAGTTGCTTGAGTCCTCACTGTCCTTTCTATGTCCCCACCCTTGCCAGACTCATACTAACTCACTAAGGAGCACTTCAGGAGCTAAGTAAGGCCTGTATGCTTTCCCCATGCACTAGGTCACTGACCAGCTACAATCAGTCACTGAGGTAAAGGTGACTTCTCTCCTCATTTTAGAGGTGGGAAAACTAGATGAGGCGGAGTGTCTGTGGTTAGTTACAGGACGGTGGTCTGGGGAATTCCCAGGCCCTTGTCCCAGAGGAAGGGTGTCCCCCAGTCACCGCGCCTGAGGCCTCCCTCATCATATCAGTTTGCTGTTTTCTGTTGTGTAGAAGAAGCACGAAGAAGACGGTGGGACCACAGATACAGCCACCATCCTGTCCAACCAGCACGAGAAGGACAGTGGCGTGGGGCGGACCGACGAGAGCACGCGCAACGATGAGAGCTCGGAGCAGGAGAACAACGGGGATGACGCCACCGCGTCCTCCACCCCGCTGGCCGCGCAGAGGAAGCTCACGTGCAGCCGGGACACCCTGGGCAGCGGCGACCTGCCCTTCAGCAACGAGTCCTTCATCTCCGCTGACTGTGCGGACGCCGACGACCTGGGCATCCCCGTGGATGAGTGTGAACGCTTCCGCGAGCTCCTGGAGCTCAAGTGCCAGGTGAGGAGCGCCGGCGCCTACAGCCTGTACTACCCCAGCAGCCCCCTGGACGCCAGCAAGAGCGACCCCGAGAGTGTGGACAAGGAGCTGGAGCTGCTGAATGAGGAACTGCGCAGCATCGAGCTGGAGTGCCTGAGCATCGTGCGCGCGCACAAGATGCAGCAGCTCAAGGAGCAGTGCCGCGAGTCCTGGATGCTGCACGACAGCGGCTTCCGCAACTACAACACCAGCGTGGGCGTCCGCAGGCACGAGCTCTCGGACATCACCGAGCTCCCGGAGAAGTCCGACAAGGACAGCTCCAGCGCCTACAACACCGGGGAGAGCTGCCGGAGCACACCGCTCACCTTGGAGACGTCCCCCGACAACTCCTTGAGGAGAGCGGCAGACAGCGTCAGCTGCCCGGCCGGCGAAGGGGCTGCGGGGACCACGGAAGCCTACGGACCGACCCCCAAGAATCTGCTCTCCATCACGGAAGATCCTGAGCTGGGCAGCCCCAGCTGCAGCCCTTCCCAAGAGCTTGACCCCAGCCAGGCCGTGGAGGGCAAGGAGAGGAAAGCCAGCGATAGCAGCGGGAGCCCCAGCCCGAAGCTGGGCGGCTCCTACCTGTCGCCCTTTCCACGCTCCCCGTACAAACACGCCCACATCCCAGCGCACGCGCAGCACTACCAGAGCTACATGCAGCTGATCCAGCAGAAGTCGGCCGTGGAGTACGCGCAAAGCCAGATGAGCCTGGTGAGCATGTGCAAGGACCTCAACTCCGCCAACCAGTCGGAGCCGAGAATGGAGTGGAAGGTGAAGATCCGAAGCGACGGGACGCGCTACATCACCAAGAGGCCCGTACGCGACCGGCTGCTGCGGGAGCGTGCGCTCAAGATCCGTGAGGAGCGCAGCGGCATGACCACCGACGACGACGCGGTGAGCGAGCTGAAGATGGGGCGCTACTGGAGCAAAGAGGAGAGGAAGCAGCACGTGGTCAAGGCCAAGGAGCAGCGGCGGAGGCGCGAGTTCATGATGCAGAGCAGGCTGGAGTGCCTGAAGGAGCAGCAAGGGGCCGACGACAGGAGGGAGATGAACATCCTCGAACTCAGCCACAAAAAGATGATGAAGAAGAGGAATAAGAAGATATTTGATAACTGGATGACAATCCAAGAACTCTTAACCCACGGCACAAAGTCACCCGATGGCACTAGAGTATACAACTCCTTCTTATCTGTGACTACTGTATAATTTCCACTTCTGCATTGTGTACATAAAAGAACACTACCATTGGGGTAGAAATTCCTGCCTCGTTCAATGCGGCATGTTTTGTATATAAGATAAATAAAATCACCCTGTTTATAGTGAAAATTGGTGGACTTCACAACTCTTAAGTGTCAGAGGTCTATTTTAAGTGCAGAAAAACCACCCTTAACTGTCTTGGAAGGCATATTAACAAACAAAGCTTTTTTCAAATAGCAATTGTACTTTTTTACTTACCTTTTACATGAAGTGTTTTAAATTTCAGAAAGATCTTTTATTAAGCATACTTTCACAGAATAATTTAACTATATTCATATAAAGAAGTTAAACACGCTTTTTTTTCCTGCCAAAAACACAAATACAACTGCCAGTATGTATTTTTAATGGAACAGTATTTTATAATGTTACTTTGCTAAATGTGTTTCATATGAGTGACCATTAATATATTATTTAGGTCAAAGCTTCAACTCAAAAACCACCAAACTCTGATTAACGACTTAACACACATAATCAAACCAGCAGTGTTTACAGCTGGGATGCTCAGTTAAACATTTTTTGGGTTAAAGTTCCCAAGAGGGTGTAAAGGTTTCAACAGAAAGCAAACTATTGTGCAGCTTTATGGAAGTTTAAAGCATGTTTGCAAATATTGCAGCCTGTTGGAAGAATGTGCATGTGCAGGAAAGTTGTGGACGGAGATGGTTTGTGGACTTTTAAGCGATCATTGTAGTAAACCTTTGCTTTGTAGATTGGAAGGGACAGACTTTTACAAGCAAGTTCACGAAATCATGATTAGTTACAAACATTAAGTAAAATGAAGTTGAAATAAATTATTTTCTATTTGATATGTTCCGAAGTGATTCCTCATTTTGCAGTGGTGCTTATAAAATAAAAGCCTTTTGCAGTGTTTATTTTTTTCTTTCATTGCATTACATCCTACCTTGGAAGAATCTGAGTCTTTCAGATGATCCAGTACCTTCATTTTGCCTGGAACCCAGAGAGAGGGAAGAAACAAAAGTGTGTCAACAATACAGAATCAAACTCACCGTGTTGTCCGTATTCCAGGTGCTGTGTTACAGATGGCATCAGTGCGGCCCAAAATCCTATAATATAAACAAGAATAACTGTGAGCCACTTTATCAGTCAGGGTCATACTTACAATGCAAATGTCTGTGGCTGGTTGGAACCACTGCTGCCTGTGGTGACTCTGGGTGGGCTGTACTGTGTGGCATGACCCACACAGAAAGGGGGCCTTTCTTCCCTTCCTCCCCTCCTTTCCTCCTTTTTTTTTTTGGCAAACCCAGCACCTATTCCCACAGCTCCCATCAGCACCTCTATAAGGGAGAAGCAGACGTCAAGTGCACAGTGAAGAACAGTCCAGTTAGATACATTCAACCATGTGCCCCCAACCAAAAAATTACAACATTTTACCAGTGGATGCCCTGGGGCGAGCATTAGCCAGAAGACGTGACTCGGCCATTTCTTCTTGACTCTGATAATCTCCCAAGTGCCTCACAGTGCGAGCATTTCCAAGCCAGTGGGCAAGTGGAGGGCTTCTCCTAGGAAACAGTGACAAGAGACCATTTATAACTTCTGTTCTCACGTCAGATCCTAGCTGCCATGTCAGCAGGATGCCCACTGCACCCAACGGGCCTTTCTACCACCTGACCCGCTGGTGCTGTATTTCCCTCCCCATTTAAAATTTTAACTGGAGCTATGTATTCTTCCAAACAAAAGTACACATATGACAAATAATAAGTTGCATATAATTTTGGAGGTTTTACATGCCCCATAAGTCCATTCTTGGACCTCCTCTAAAGTTGCAAAAATCCCAAGTGTAGACCCACTAAACTTAACAATTCTGTGGATTTATTTCTCAAACTATTACTTTAGTTGCATCTTACAGCACTGTCTGATTGTAATGCCCATTTTTAACATCAAGGAATACTCTTTTCCTATTGAGGGCACATTGTTTAAGGCAATTGAAGTTGAAAAAACCAACAGCCCCTTTGCTCTTCCAGTCACTATACTAGTAGGTGCTTCTCTCAAAGCTGAATAAATTGTAAAACTATGAGGACACGTTCCTGATACTGCACAGCAGCCACTCCAACTGGCTGGATGACTGAAGGTCAAACAATTTCTAAAATACAAAGGGAAGGAAATGAAATGGATTGATCATCTAGTGCTATGCTGTCCAATACAGTGGCCACCAGCCACATCTGGCCATTAAGCACCTAAAATAAGGTTACTCTAAATTGCAATGTTCTGAGAAAATGGATTTCAAAGACTTAGTATCCCAAAAAAAGATGTAAAACGTTTAAATAATTTTTATGCATGTTGAAATAATATTTTGCATTGGTAGGGTTAAATAAAATACAATTGACCCTTGCATAACACAGGTTTGAACTGCATGGGTCCACTTATAGCAGGGTTTTTTCAATAAATACACTGAAAACATCTCTGGAAATTTGCAGCAATTTGAAATTTTTTTCTTTACCTTACTGTATTGTAAGATTACAGTGTATAATACAGATAACATACAAAATACGTGTTAATCAACTGTTAATGCTATCCATAAGGCTTCCGGTCAACAGTAGGCTGTTAAGCTTTCGGGGCACCAAAAGTTATATAAACAGACTTCTAACTTCAAGAGGCCACCACCCCTACCTCCTGAGTTCTTCAAGGGTCAACTGCAGTTACAAATAATTTCACCTTTTTCCTTTTTAATGTGGGTGCTAGAAAATTTTTAAATTACATTTCTATCAATAGCACCAATACATGGATTATCAGGACATATGTGCAAAATGCTCAACCTCTTGTCACCAAATCCATGGGCAGTTCTGTGAGACAGATGGCCCTATCCACAGTTTACAGTCAGATGAGGAACTCTGCCCGGATGAGCACAGAGACTGAATTTCAGTTTGCATCCACCTGAGACCAAACCTTCTCCATCTCACCACTGTGCCTCCATCTCCTCAAGAAGTTAACTGGAAGTCTGCTCAGGTTCTGATACCATTTGTAACACAGGATTTCAATTTAAAAAACTGCTTCCAAGCAACAGGCATTTCACTCAGTTCCCTTGGAATTAATACAGAGTATTCTAACTCTTGGCAAGAACATACAATGGTGCGCATAAATACAGGAATTGAGGACACAAACTTAGCTTTTCAACATTGGTATGAAAACAGGATCCCAAATAGCAAGAATCACAAACTTGAGGAGGTAGGACTACCCACTGCCACGGGAATACTAGGTGGAGAACTGGTAAGGATTATAAACTGCAGTAAGGAAATTAACTAAACAGTTCTCTGCTTGCAGCCTTGGGAGTAGGGAACAAGTTACTACCCAAACCCAAGGAAGTAAACACAGTCCTGCCACAAGCACCCTTCCCCATTGTTCCATGAGTTAGGATTTCTGTGGCTCATCCACTAATTGAAAAGAAATCACTAAAACCGAGATAAGATGCAAGAATTCTCATGGCAAATGCTGTATATAGTCTTCAATTCTGATTAAATGTGAATTCCCAAAAGCAGTTAGAAAACAAAGTGTGGTTCTTTGGGTTTCATTAAGTTGGGCCTTTCTGCTTAAATGATCCATTTGTCTTCAGCTCCAGTTTCAACTAATCTTGAAGGGGCATGGCCCACGCAGACGTGTGGTTTGCCTGTAACGCGATTTTGCCTTTCCAGGGCGGAACACTGATCTCAGTGCTCTCAGCATCTTTTTAAAATGCAAAATGAGGAACTAATGACCCCTCCTTCAGTGGGGCTCTTGCAAAAGTAAACTTCTTCCCAAGTGAGTAAGTCTTGTCAAAAATCCTCAAAAGCCAAAAGAAACTCCCTGGGCCTCGGAGTCTCAAAAAGTTTATTAGGATTAAGGTGAAACATATATTTAGTTGTCTTCTCAGCTGGCACCCCAGACATTATGGGTTTAGTTTAGTAGTTTCAGGAATCATTAACCACCTCTGTTCTGTAGAAATTATCAGAAGCCAGCATAGACTTGTTCAGCCAGTAGCTTTTGTGCCCATTAGGTTCGGGGCAAGAGTGACTTATCATGAGCTTACAATCCAGTGGGAAAGACAATAATAAACAAATGTTAAGATCCTATAGGGGGAAGGATGGACAGTGAGGCTAGGCCACATGTTATGGTCGAGCTGAGAGCGAATGGATGAATGTGCATTAACTAGACAAAGACAAAGGCTGTACTCCAGGCAGAAGAAATCAACATATGCCAAGGCCCTGAGGTAGGAGAGCCTGGGCATTTTTTTTTTTTTTTAACAAGACAGCCAATGTGGCTTGAGATCAGGAAGCAACAGAGGAGAGGAAAATGTATAATGAGACTGGGAGGTAGGAAGGAGCCAGACTATCTACTTGACCATAAATAATACCTATTAAACATAGCCAACATTTATTGAGCACCTAATGTGTGCCAAAAAATATGCTAAATCTACCTACGCTAACTAGCTGAACTATAAATAGCCCATGAGATGGGTTATTATATTTTGCAGATTAAAAAAACAAATGTTTAGGGAAACAACTTGCTCAAAGTGAAACAGTCCACAGCTAGAGGAGAAGAGACACCAGTTCTAACAATCCATAATCACTGTGGTGGGAAGTAGTGCCTCCATGACAGGGGCTCGCAGGCTTTCACTCTGGAAAGGCTCAGAGATCAGCAAATAACTAACACTTATGTTTCACCTCCAGCTACCGTAACAAAATCCCACAGACTGTGTGGCTTCACAGAATTTATTTCCCTCAGTTCTGGAGGCCTGAAGTCTTAAGAGCAGGGTGCCAGCACCATCAGCTTCAGGTGACAATTCTCTCCTGCAGACAGCACATCCTCACATAGCGGAGGAAGATGCAAGCAGTGGTCTCTTCCTCTTCTAAGGATGCTAATCCCTTCATGCAGCCCCACCCTCAAGGCCTCTTCTAAACCTAATTATCTCCCCCAAACCTCACTTCCAAATACCATTACATCACCCAGGGTCAGGGCATCAACACGTGAATTTGAGGGTCATGCAGACATTTAGTTAAGAGTGGATAGCCTGTTGATCATTTTGTACTCTGCCTTTATCTAGCCCAGGGATAACTCTCTTTATAACCATGTTGCTTCCCATTTCTACGCCCTTGCAAATGAGGACCTTAACTGGCTTAGTCAATTCACTTCTGCAGAGCCCAGCTGACCACTGACCTGAACACATCCTAACGGGACTCCCTTTCCACAATCCACCACGAACACATAGCTTAGAGAAGGTCCCTCCTTCCTTCGGTTCCAGCAGCAGCTGTCCCTACCAGTTTTTACCACCACCTGGACGCGCAGCACCTGATCTGAGGAAAGGGTCCCACCAAATGCATAATGAAAAAGGCAGTTTAGCTAGTTTTCAGGCCACAGAGCTTCCCTGATTAGCCAGCCTTCTTAAACACCTCTCCCGAGCTGCGCCCTGCTGCGTGAACTGATGAGGGCGACTCCATACCGAGGGGGGAGCCCTTCCAACCCCTGCTGCCATCCAGCGAGCTGCTGCTTCCTTCCGTAAGCGATCTCAGAGGTGTCATGAGCAGAGGCCACGAGGTTCCAGAGGCACTAAACGGCCTCCTCCATATGGGCCATATCGGAGTTACTCGGCGCCAATGATCTGGAAGCACCGAGAAGCTAAATAAATCCCAATTACATATAATTTAAACTCTTCCCTGCTTTCTGAGAAGCGGGGTGTTTAAAACAAAGAATGTGGGTTTTGTGAGTGCCTAACGCTTACCCGGAATGAACAACCCAAACCAAACCTGCCTTTTGGGTTATAGAGCAGAGCCTTAGGGGGAGGGGTTAATAGGTTCTGACCTTGCTGCCAGCATTGTGGACTCTGTCGCCTTAAGGTCACGGGCATGCCCACTCTGAGGGTTCCAAGCCAACGTTTTAAGTGCTATTTGGTGGGGAGAGGCTTATATTTGACCAATTTTTAATCAAGTTGTAAATCTTCAGGCTCTTCCTGATCCAGCCTTTTCAGGAATGCGAACTGCTTCTATTTCTGCTTCACTAACGCACCTGCTTTTTCCTCTTCTTTACCAGGGGCCACGTCTTTAATACCTGCCTAAGATATCATGGTTTGATTTCCCTTAAGAACACATACAATTTATAAGCCAGACTTGGGATTCATTCTTTCATTTAACAACAAGCATAATTCCAAAACAAACATATACATTGGCATATAGTTTTGCATTAGAAAAAGAAAGCCACGTCATTAATGTGTTTCTTAAAACCCCTAAGAGCTCAGTAAATGCTTTCTTATATTAAAAGAAAAAAACCTGAAATATTTAAACATATATATAAATAACACATGTCTTCTAACTCGCAAGCCAGAGTTGGCTTCTTGGGAACATAGATTGTTGCAAGCATTGTTGGGAGTTATGTACATTGTCTCAGAAATGAACATAAGTGCTGCATTTTATTTGCAATTTTTACTTCCCTCCCACCACCCAACCCAACATATGGACCACTACCGTGACACAGTGTCTCTGTTTGTGTGTGTCTCACTCACTTTCCTGCCTCATGGCATAAAGCACTGTTTTCA